TTTTGTACCTGGAGGATATATAAAAACAATTTTTTTTTAGGTGTTATATATACATTTGAATAACTAAAAAATCATAAATTACTACATCAAAACAATAGAATTCCACTATAATTTACCAAGCTTAGTAAATAAGATGTATTTTACTCTAAAAAAAAATATCAAATTGACCAGACTAAAGACACAACCTACCTCATTGAAATCTTGATTTAAAAGAAAGAAATGACACTAGGTACATTAGCTTCTGATTGGTTATTCATGTCATATACAAGTTTTTATAAGGGAGCATTTCTAAAAATGGAAGGAGGTGAGCAGGGTGCCACTATGTTTATTACATGAGCAATATCTTAGGAAATAGAAAATATAAGAACTTCTTATTTTATATCTTATCTTGTCAATATCTGTAATTTGAGTTTCTAATTTGTATGAAACTATAGACTTAGTATTTGACTTCACAAATATCTAATTTGAACCAGTGCTACATTCAACATACCACGTGACACACAAAAATCGATGTTTATCTGTGCTTTTTTATTATTTAATTTTAAATTAACAAATTGAGTAATGCATAGTTCTAAAATTGGAATTATAATCTACAGTTTGATACCAAAATTACTGACATAAATTCATGAAATAGTAGTACAATAAAATTTTGAATGCAAGTCAACAAACGAGATGACATGGCTTTTCACCTGTGACCCGTATAAAAAGGGTTACAACATTGTATTCTGCAACTCTTATTCCTTCTGTAAGCAAGTTAATTTTGGAAATGAAATTAGTCTAATACTTTACATATGTATTTTTAACAAAACCTACAGACAACACTGAATTGATGATATCTGTGCCATTACAATCTTACAGCATTCAAACTAAACAACGTATGTTTACAAACTAAAAATATATGTTAAGGAAATACATTTTCCAACTGTTACTCTTAGCTTGTACGTTAAGGTATTGTTTTTTTGTGTGAGCACATTGTTTTCAACAAAACATTGTATGATCAATCTTCTTCGTAATGACCTTAATCCCAAGTAGTATGGGGTCAGCTGGTAATTTTGTAAGCCAAAAGTTTTTACACCCAGGTGGCAACCATACAGGATGAGCATGTTCAGCAATGGGATTTGAACCTATGATCCTCAGATTGTGAGTCAAGCGCCCTAACTACCAGTCCTAAAAAAAGCACTGTATGATTAAAAATGAAGCTAAAGTTCTCTTCTTCTGATAATATGAGTTCATTTAAACTGATGAACAGTTACAAAAGGCAGTATCTTGTTTTCTCCATTGGCAGCTAAATGATAAATACTTAGTATAAAACAGATTTTTTAACTGTTGGTAAGCTGTATTTAAGAATTGTGTAAATGATCTCCTGTATGATTATGAAATTACATTTAAAGAATCTCTTACCAAAATCAATGTCTAGGAGAGCAGCGTTAGCTCCTTCAACCATCACAGTTTTACCTGCCATTATTGCATGATGAAGATAAGACACAGTGTCAGTCACAAAAGGACGGATTTTCTCGGCATAGACCTGTTATAAAACAGAAGCAGTGAAGTTTAGACTTTGTTATACAATAATAAACTTTAAAAGACTTTTTTTAATGCGAGTACTATGAGTATCCCAGACAGTGTTCTACTGAAATTAAGCTTTATATACAAAATATGCTATCACTGGACATTCTCATTCATACAAAACAAGGTTAAATATTAATTATTGTAATCAAACAGCATGAGCAAAATAATCCAGATTTTATTATTCCAGATTAAACAAAACATATTTGTATTTATAGTTATTGAAGAATATCTTATCTTGAATGTTACTATATTCAAGTCAATCTTCACCTGAAAGTTTTATATGCAAAAAAAGAGCTCTACATAAAAGAAAGTATGAAGATACTGAGTTCTAAAAGCTGATGCTAAATCAAGAAAATGATGAAATTCAGTTGTTAAGCTAAGCAAGTCCAGTAACTTGTACCCAGAAAATCATTTGAACAGAACACACAAAAAGTAATAAAACAGAAATTTTTCAATATATTTTTCTTTTGGTTCTGTACAATGACTATTTCCCTTCACCTTATACCTCGCCAGTTCTGCTTCCACATCAACATTTAGTTCAGGGTACAAACGCTGGAAGGCTGACACAAGATTGTGAAATCTGCGGAAAGAGATAAAAATCAAGACGGGACCTCGAAAAATCTCATACAGACAAAATATAACTAAAGTTAATCAGTAAAATTAGCTCTAAGCCAAATGTGTGTATGCAGCTGAGCAACAAACTTGCATGTAAGTAACATCACAAAAAACGTAGGTTACAACTTTCTGTCTAGCCATACGTTTATGTATACATTCAGCTCTGAAGATGTAACTAATGCAGAATTTAACACCTGGTAAAAAATGGACAGAATGGAAGCTGGATTATTTGCAGTTTCATGCTATGAAGACAGAAATATGTATTTTCTATTTTCTTTAATGCATTTGTACAACTAGTAACATAGCAGTGAATTAGTCCAGTGTAGAATGACTCCTAAAGTGTAAGCTTGTATTTCACTCTATACATAGAAAATTTAGAAGCAAAACTGCTGTTCAGGCTTTCTAAATAATTTCTATAGGCATATGAAATCACTTCCTGTTTGTACTGCAAATAATTTTTGATGAAGTACACCTCGATATTAATAAACACAAAAGATGATTCTAAAGCAGAATCATCTTTTGTGTTTACTGATATAGTTTTTCTGAAAAATACCATCTCAGAACAAACTAAAACCAATGTTCTTGTCCTAAAGCTAAGCAGCAGCACATCAAATTATGAATAAATTATTTCTAAGCAGTTATGTTAAAGTACCATATTTTTTATCATAATTAATTCTTCAGTAATTTGTAATTACAAGTTTACCATTTGGTATCGTGACTTATATTAAACATTTTCAAGTGGAATCAATATTCGAGTAGAAATTAATTACTAGAAAGTGCTGTAATGTCTCCCCAGACACCTTTCTTGTAAGACTTATCAAGAGCTTTTAAAAACTTTAGTATTCGATCAGTTACTACATTCATAAAACTAGATTAGACTAGTTTGAAATTGTGGCCATTATACAAATAATCACATATTTTCAATGTAAGAAAAACTTTTTATACTTACACACAAAACATAGCCTAAGAACTTGTTTGAGTGTCTTATAGAATATTATGTACCAAAACATTAATCAATAAGCAATTATCTTATGTAAAAATTACAATTGTACTTTAAAATATTTTGTTATTGCTTTCAGGATAACAGCCTTTGATAAACTAGTGTTCTAGATTGAAAGGTCACAATCCTTGGCCTCTTCTTCAACCCATCTATTATTAAAGAGTAAACATCCATTATCCTCAGTTTTTTATTTAATCCATCTAATATTATATGTATTTAAAATCCTTATCTCAAACTCTTATTTAAACAATCATCATTAGTCTCTTACTTAACCCATCTAATGTTAATAATTGAAAGTTCTCTATACTCAGGCTTTTGTTTATACTCACTTTTCCATAAATAAATTGAAGTCCCCCAAAAGATCAGCTAAACGAATTCCATTTCTACTTGCCTATAAAATAATAATTATAATCCTATTAGGATTATTTTTTACTTTTAAATAATCACAAAAGTTTGTTTTTCTTTAGACAGGTAAGTGTGGTAACCAATATTTTCATTCAAGTTTTACAGTATTAAAAATGTGCATCCTTTTTCAATGTTGTTTTTAAAAATCAAGTTATAATGATAAACAGTTAGGAGGAAAAATAAAATTTTCTGAAGATCAAGTAACAACTTAAGAGTTTTGTTCTTTACTAGTCACTCTGAGCACCAAACATATACAAGGGAACATTATTCAATTACCATAGAAACGATATTCAATCATTGTTAACTTTTTTACAAAATCAAGTTGACATAGAAGTCAGTGTATAGGAAGTACTTGAAAATTTCCTGAAATTTTATAATTTTTTTATCATTAAACACTAGATAAAATCCTAATATGAAGCAAAATTAATAAGTTGTCAAAGTAACTTCAATTTGTGAACATTAAATTCAGGTCTAGCAAAAATATTATTTATATACATTTAAATATTACTAACATTCTATTGATCTACCTTTGGTGTAATATTTACTTCAAGTCAGAACCAACAACTTTTATAAAGCAAACAAAACTCTGTAAATATTTAAGATATCCTAGATTTATAAAATTCAAAGATTGTTAATGTTTTACCAAAAATTATCAATGTTTTATTGAAAAATCACTCCTACTGGTATCTATCCACTTAGAAAAGGAAATTTAGAGTATCACAAAACAATGAGAGACCCAAAGTGACTTGTATCTAAACTCAGCTTGAAAATAGAACTTTAGTTATTGGTCTACTGGATCATTAACTTGGTAATTTTATTGTTCCACACCTAAGCCCAGCTAGCCATCATCATAGCCGTTATACTTTTGTATGAAGAGAGGCTTTTAACTTTACATGTTATCACACAAACTCATTTAAAATATTTTCTGTAAATATTATGATTTCTCCACAAGTTTCCTAAAGCAAATTGGAGCATCATTATATTGTCACTTTTTAAGTGTGAGGTCAAACTTTAAAAAATCCTATACAATAATAATTGCTAATTATAATTATAACAAGAAATTTAATATAACATTTGAGGTCAAAGGCTCTGCTGATCTATTAAGGCTGTTCCATCCACTAAACTATAAAACCCTCAAAGCCAGCCCTTATCATTTAAACCTTTTCGCAAGGGCTGATGTATTACAATAGCTCGACTGAGGAAGGAAATTTATGTAACAATACATATTGTAATTCTGAGATATCCTCACAAGACCTGGCAAGATTTTGTTAAAGATTATAAGTATCTTGAACACAAAGAATGACACCATGTTAATTAAATCTTTCTAATAAAAATATATTATTTACCTATAGTAATTTGCATTTAAACTGAATAATTTGAGTGCAAGGTGATTTTTCATTTTAAATATAAAATACTTTTCTTCATATTATAGTTTCATATTTCATTTGTATAACCTCTAGAACCTCCTAAATGAATATTACAATTTTTTTAAGGTAAATGTTTATTTTTTCATTTTCTCTAACTATACTATAATATTAGGACAATAATGAAACAATTATAATTATTCATACATTGTTAGATGCACATTACAGCAGACTCAAGAAATAGAACATTACAAGCAGTTTTATAATTTAACAAATATTATAATATCAAACAGTTGTGTGTATTAACCCTGATGAAGCTGCAAATAAAAAAAATATTTTATATATATATATATATATATATGTATGTATGTATGTATGTATATATGTATGTATGTATATGGAGTGTAAAGGTTTTTTCTAAACATTTTCTCTAACTGTAGATATTATCATTACCAAACCGTGCAATAAAATGTTTAAAATTAAGAAACAGAAAAACTTGCATACATTTTAATTTGTTGTAACATATCTTGAAAGATCTATTGGTTATATTCATAATTTCAGGTATTTCCTTTTCACATAGTTAATTATAGCTTATTATTCATCTTAGTACAAGTCAATGGTGCCCTCAGGGCATAATTACAGTATCTTTGGCAGAGATGCACGAGCCTTTGACAAAACTTTCTTCTTGCATAAGATATTAAGCCTTAAGAACCGACTCAAAGTATGATGTAATTAACAAATGTTTAAACCTTTCGATTATGCATTTTTAAAACAAATAATACATAATTAAGATATAAAAGTAAGATCTAAATACAATTTAACTGTCTCTCTCTCTAACATATTTAGCTAAGAACAAACTAAGTGCTATCTGGGATCAAACAGTTACATCTACCAGATGACAACAACTGTGTGCCCATTTCAAAATAACGTAGTGAATTACAGTGTAAAATGAGCTCTTTCTAATGACTATATACATGTATACGTAACAACTACATGTACATTATAAAACCCAGTAAAAAGTATAGAAGGTGGGCATGGCACCCATCAGGGGTTGACAAAATGTTTTACTTGTTTCTACTCCATTCAGCAAAATAATTTTGAAACTACCGTGCCAATAAAGCAAGTAAACATACTTAATTGTCCAGACATTCATCTACAAGACTGGCATTAACTGAGTCAATAGAGAAAGTGTGAAAGTTTAGATTTTTCATAGCTTGTGGGTCATGTGACAACACAAAACTGATGTTTAAGTATTTTTTTTTACAGGTTTCTTTTGAAATAAAGGAATTAAAACTTAGATAACATAAAACTTCAAATCGTAACATATGTTATAATGTTAATTTCACTGACATACATTGATAGTAAAGTTGTTTAATTCAATTTTGAATGCAAGTCAGTGACTTGCACAGAAAAGTGTTTAAAGGACTAGCCATTCTAAAAGGGTTAAAAAATTATCAAACCTTCCCTTAAATTTACTGTATCCACCACATCTGTAGTCAAAACATTCCAAAAGCCAACCACCCTCTTAGACAGTAAACTGTCTTATCTGAAGATAACTTCTATCCTGCTAACTTCATACTTGTATTCCCTTGTCCTATCATTCTCACCATCAAGTATCAGAGAAAGTGATGCATTGTTAGAGAATATGAATCTATCAAAAACAAACCTGTAATAACAACCACATATCATTTATAAAGGATACTAAAACCTTAAGTTAACCAATACTAAATCAAAAATACTCCTGAAGTTGAAAGGACTGATGATCCTTGCTTTTTCAGTCATATATCACTGATACAACAATTATCTGGAAAAATAAATTAATGGAGAAATGAAACAAGTTTTGTTTCAAGTCTTTAGAAGCAGGAGTAGTGTTAAGTATATTTCTCTATGCTGCAGCATATTTGTAATACCATTTGCAGCCAGCTCAATAAGATAGACTATTCTTTAACCCTTTGAGTGCATAATTAAATTTTGAGTGGGTTCTCAAAAAGCGTCAATTATTCACTAAAGAAAGAACCATAGAATTCGACCTTTTTTGGTATTTTTTTCAATATCAAAATCCACTAATCACACTTCTGTTCAGTGATGTATGCATACACAGTAATAAAGCAGGAAATTCAAGGACATGTGAGTATACCGACTGTCGCACTGAAAACTTTTCCAACACTGTGGGGTAAATCCACTTGTCTATCAAATGACCATAAATGTCAAGTCAGATAAATCCAATTATAGTATCCAAAGGGTTAAAGCAAAATTTATGAAGTTTTATCTCAAGTTATAGCTTTTACATTAAGTAAGACTTGTATTTAAAACAGATGTGACATTTTGATCATTTTCAAATACACAAATTTTAATGGTAAAGAGCGATTTAGTATTTAAATCAACATTTAACAATCTAACAGTGTGTTTAAATTATAGAATTGATAGTTGTTACTTATGCATGTACATTTCAATCCATGTGAATTGACAGATTATTCATTCATGACAAGTTCTAGTCATACAAATAACAGCATCAACCTTGAGTAAAAATGTAAGTTGAGTTCCTGATCTATATATAATTGAAATAATTGTTTCTAAGACACAAGTTTTACCTTAGAGGCATATGTTGGTCCAATTCCCTTCTTAGTTGTTCCCAAACTGCAAGAGATGTGTAACTTTGAATTAGGAAAACAAATGCAGTAAAATTGGCTTTAAAGCAAAACCAAAAAGATATCTCTTATGCTAACAGAATTTATCTTCATGAATTTAAAATTTTTTATTGTCACAATAAAAATGAAATATTGATTAAATCCTTTGAACTTATTTTATCAGCCAAACATGATCTATATATTACATAAATGAATACCGACCTTTGTTTTCCTTTTTCAACTTCTTGCATCCCATCGACAAGTTGATGGAAATCAAACACTAGAAAAGGTAACTTCATTATTTCAATTTGCCATGTTTGTTATACATCAATAACACCATTTGAGTTAATTCAACACAAATTGTGATTTTAACAAAGAGACTTAGAATAAGTCAAGAAATAATTTTCTTGTGTAACAACAAAAACAAAATTGACTGAATTTATTTGAACTTTTGCCTCAAGAAAGTAATATTACCACTGCACTAAAAGCAAACCAAAACAGAAATATTGGCAACATACTGAGTTAATATATCACTACAAATTTTTGTTTAAACTTTTAAATTTTCTAAATATTTTACTAAATTACAGGGTGGTGAAGTAAGGAGACTCAATAAGCCTAACAAATGTGATTATTATTATGTTAAATTGCATGTTCTATCACACTACTACTCACAAACTCAATACAAATTTTCAACTTGATTAGAGTTTCTTACACTAAATAAAAATGGAATTTTACATATGCTTTGGCTATGATAAGGTCAATTCACGTGATAAGTTTTCATACTATAACATTATGCAGAAGACAAAGATTTTTCACACTTCCTAAGTGAAGGAACTAATAAAGTCACATGATAAACATCTGCAGTGGCTCTTTGGAAGAAATGTACAGACTAAACACTACATTGAGAAGTGAAAAGTAGAATGTTTTGAACAGGAATACAAGAAAACAACTTCAAGATGAAAGTAATTTCTTGTGCATTTTGAATATATATCAAAACAAAATATAGTTTTGGCTTAAACATAATTTGAGTCATTTTCTCTAATTTTATTACATTTTGAGACACTGGTTTTATTATCTTATCTAACCTAATAAGTTTGTAATTTTTATGTTTCAGCTACTTTTATAAGAATCTAGAATATACATGAAAAACAAGAAATACAGCACTTGCCCTGGTCATTTTTTTTTTTTTGCTGTCAACTGTCAATAAAACTTAAGCCTACTTTTTTTTTTAATACTAATGGTACTACAACACTAAAATTTTTATTTAATTGAATAATGCAACTAAGAACACAGAATAAAAACAAACCAAAAAATAAGCAATATTCTATAACTACCATAATTTTTCTGGCTTTCTAACTATGCAATAAAAACCTTTAAAAATTCAGATAAGCTCATCAGTGTGATTCCTATGAGAATAAATTTGAAACTGAACAACAAAATGGACAATACTCTGTATAAAAAACAATGTAATATATATTGTGATTTAATAAATTAAAACTTTAGCCTTTTATTGGCTCTAAATAATATAGTATAAAATATCAGAGAGAACTATTGGCAATTTCTAAAAGAGAGGATGTGACAAGTGGGCAGAGCAAATGAGTCTTATTATTGAATTTGTGGCTCCATAGACAAACAAGATTGAAGGCTATAAGAATTATGCTTTGCTGAGTAATATACCTATTATAATAAGTAAGTTACATTAAATTCTGTAAATAAATTAGAGAAAAGGGATGACCTGGAGAACATCTGTCACAATTCTCAAACTAGGGTAGACTGAGGATATTTAAAAATATTTCGTTATAAAATTAAGAACTTAAAACTTATATAATATTAAAACGTTATTTATTAACTATGTCTTGATATCAAATTTATTCATATCCATTAATAATAATAATAAAGTAATTTAATTAAATCTTGAATGTAATTTTGTAAAAGGTTGTGACATGTACTTTGACCTAGCCATCCCAAAAGGGTTAATGAAGGGATACAGTCCAATGCTGGTGACATCACAGACAGTACATGTTAATATATGTGGGGATAAGAGCTGTTAAGGTAGCTCAACATATAAAAAAACACTTTTCAGTAGTGGTGCTGAGGTAATACCTATTTGTTCTGTGGAAAGATGAATAATAATCTATATTATTTTTATTAAAATCTTGGAATTTGATATGCAACTGTACACTTAATATTTGAAAGGTGCTCACAGATCTGGATAGGGTTAACTTCACCATAGCAAAAAGCTGCCATATCTTAACTTCTTTTCCCTTTCCTTTTCAAGGTATTCACTAAAATCACGTGACCTTTTTAACATCTTTTCGTATGAAATGCACATAAATACAGATGATTGGCATTATGGACTCAAAATGAGCTCTACTAAAAGTCTAAGCAACACCTTTTTTTTCCTGTGGTAAAAACTCTTCCTCTCTCTCTTTCCTAGGCTTTGACTTTCATACTAAACTTCTGAAAATTGCCAATTCCTCCTAAAAAATGTAACTTTAGAAAACTGCCTCATCTCCCAATAAAAAAAAAGTTTCAAAAACAGATGTATTTCCAAATAAACAAAAATTAAGAAATTGTCACAACTCCTCTAAAAAATCAAAACTTCTGAAACTGAGAAAATACCTTCAAATAAACAAAACTACTTAAAACCGACATCATCTACAACAAAATTTCAAGAAATTGTCACAACACATCCAAGCCACAAGTACATTAAAACTACATTTGTTAAAGAAACAAGTTCCTCAACCAAGTTGCACTTTTCAGCAAGATCAACTTTGATTTTTGTCAATGTTTCTACATATGATTAGTATACCTAATTTATAATAAATTACACTAAGATTGATAACTTTTCAACGAATTGACAAAGATAATTTTTAAGATAGTTGCATTGATATTTATCATTTCTAAAACTGCTATAAAACATGTATTTAGTCAAAAAATTGTTACATTAAAAACTTGTATACAGTAAAAAATACTTAACATTTGTATTTTATTAATATACTCAATTTTTGCTTCAAGTCTCATATTACCACACACATACATGCAATGTAGGTCCTTTAATGCCTAGTCAACAGTACATAGGCTAATATATATTTCTAATTTATCATTGAACAAGCAGTTCTTTTAAAGAGTGTTACAAAACCCTTGAAAAATATACTACTATATACTAAGTACAAATCAATTATGAAGTGGGAACTAAAGTTGTGACAATTAGGAAACAAAACATCTAAGACTCAAGTTGTGGATTTTATTGTCACTATTTAATTAATATTAATCAGTCAAAGCACTTTTGCAATAAAAACTTCTATTATTTGTTTTAAAAGTACCTGTAATAATAAAGAATTCTCTGAATGTCACTATCACTGTGTTCAGATATAATTTAATCATTCAATTAACAACTTCAAGTATATTGGTTACAATCAATTTTATAAACCCTTTTAATACACACACACATTTTCTTTTCATAAAGCAATACTCCTAAATAAGAATTAGTTATAAAAAGAAAAAACTAACCAAGGTGTGCTCTGTCAGAAATGTATAATCTACCCGTACAGTCAGGCAGACCTTTAGCTTCATTCTTAGTTATCTCTTCAAAAAACTGTGGTAAATTTATTACAACTCCATTCCCTGTAAAAATAACATACACTCATTTGAAAATACAAACGACGTGTAATTCACATATTTTACTGTCACAGCTTATGTAAGTATGCTATTTCAGATGAAAACTTATGAAAGAAATAAAAAAAACTTTTTTTTAAATTTATTCGAAGATACTATTGTCAATAAGCATGACAAACAGTTGGATGTAATATTTCTATTTTGATCTCAGTCAAGCAGCAGTGCTAAACCTTAAAAACACATTACACTAAATACTACATGAAAAGTGCACAAAGAAGATTAAGAGTATTTTAACCAAAATTAAGTAAAAAACTTTGAGATAAACATGATAAAAAGAATTCTATAGAGTTATGAGCAAGGTTTCTCAGTAAAACATACTGACCCACTTATAAAGGTTTCTGTACCTTTGAAAAAATTTCAATAAAAGTTTTGGATAATTTTTATAAACCACTATGAAAGTTAAGATTTTCTTAATGAAACCCCTAAATACAGTTGATATATGTAGATAAAAAAAGAATTTCAATTTTTGAAGTTAAATAGATATTTTGTACAGTCTTCTCTAAATAAGAAAAGTTGCCAAAATGTATGCAAACTATTTCTAAAAAACTGAACATTCACATATAATTAGTTTGAATATCTCTAAGTCTACATTCTTGACATCCTGATAGACATTAAAACTGTGAGAAACCCCATATTGTGTCACTTAGTAGAATATGTAAAATTAGTAAAATTGGCAAGAAATTAAAACAATATGTAATGAATCAAAGTGCTGGATTAGTATTTTGAGTTTCAATACATCTTTATATTTTGACTTATCTAGTTACACCCTTTTCCAGAGTAATTCTTGATCTATTCTATTTTATTTTAGTGTCCTTCCACTTGTTAAACCAAAAATCTCATACTAAGATGTCTACATAATCCCCTATTGAATAATTGTAAGCAGTAAACATCCACATTTTATGTACAGCATTTTTTTAAGGCTTGTGTGCAAGTAATGAAATTTTATAATTTTTGCAAATAGCTCATTACCAGCAAAAAGCAGCATAAAATATCTGCTAAAGTAACAGTACATTAAATGATGAAATAAAATGGAAACTTTTGATCTTCATTTATAGTTATGTAATTTTAAAGTAAAGATGTATACACATGAATGTATGTGAATGTCTTTAACCCATTACTGTAATTGGCATAAATGTATGTAAGTATGGGTCGAGAGATGTCTAGCATGCATAAATACATGGATGGAGATGATAAAGGATTAACAGACAATCTTCAATTAACTGCATCATCAACTATGCCCTTGTCAACAATGATGTAACTTTATTAAGTAGCATTAAATTTTCCTGGGTTTATCAATTCATTAAATTTCTACAAAGAAATGCCTGTAAAACATTTCTTTCTTTCATACCAGTAGAAGAGTAACTTAACCCTGGGTGCATGGTGCCAGATCATGGCGCCAATACCCAATAGGGGAATTAATGTTTAGTATAAATCTGAATTTACCATAATTTACTATATATCGGCAAGCCTTCAGTAAACATTTCAAATATACGTAAAAAAATTTTTTTTACTAAAGTATTTCTACTAAAGATACGTATGAAACTTACGAAGCCTTTACTGAGTCAGTCCGAGTAAAAAGTGATTTTATTGGTTTTCAAATGAGACCCAAAACCATTACAACTTTTCTATCCTATGTGCTAAATTCTTAATCAGATGTAAATTTAATGATAAAAATAAAAATATTTTTAATCTTAAAGTTTTTATATTTCATTTGCATAATCTATAGAACCCCTAAATTAACATCAAAAGCTTTTTTTGCAAAAACTTCATTTTTTTTTTCTACTCTAACACTACCTTTGGCAAAAGTTGGAAAATATGAATTAGAATAAAAAATATATTTTATTTCCAAAATAAAGGCAGAAAAAAAAGAGGCATGAGAAGTAACACAATAAAAATGATAAATTAATTAAATCAGAGACAGTAAATTACAGTGAATAAACTATATGGAAAAATAAATAAAACATGAATAATTTTAAGCAACAATGTATGGGAATGGGAATGTTGGGTGGTTTTCTATATTAAAAGCTTAAGAGTAGGAGCAATGGATAAAGAAGTCTTTCACTTCTTTAGATTTTTTGCTCATAACTCACTGTTGGCTGTCCAAAAATAATTTATGTAGCTTTAAAATAAGCATTTCACAACACAAAAATACATTAGACACTAAATTAGAATGTCCAAAACTAAAATAATTTACTGTCTTTCTAGCTAACCAATAAATAGGTTTAAAAAATGGCATTACTTCTCAGAGCAACATCTTCCATCCAAACACATCAAGCTATTACTCAAATTATGTGCTTTTACCATTAAAATATAACAGTGTAGGATCTTAATATTTTCCTAACCTGAAAATGTATTTCCAATTGATTCTTACCTTTCTGCACACAGTGACTATTCCTTGAGCATCAGCCTTCGAGATTTTGCACCTGTTACTAGCCTTGAGCTGTGATTCACTTGAGACATGTCATAACAAACTGTGCTAATGCATGATGCAATCATCATGTAATAATGGCCCTCCTCTAATAAAAGGGTGAAACATTCTCCATGCACAGTACATTAGGGAAACATCAGAGAGGTGCTTGGACACAATCAGATTAAGCCAATGTGAAGGTCTTTTATGGGAGAAAGTGCAATGGGTTACTGCAAGACCTAATTTCAAAAACCAAAATGTATGAGCCATGGAAATGCTGGCTTTTTCCATGATAGTCTGGAAAAGATATTGAAATATTACATATCACTGTAGTGGTCTTGAGGAAAACATCTCAACAATGTGCACCTTAGGAGCCAAGGCAAATGGGTTTAATGCTTTCCATTACCTCTGACTTATAAGATTTAGGGACATAAGTATAACCCTGTAAGGCAACACCAGTCACCAGGTGGGTTGTGAGAAGTGAATGGGAGTGCATTATAAACAGGTAAGAAAAAAGAAAAGAAGTACTTACCCATTAAAGATGGTAACTAGACTGGAAAATGGTGACTGGAGGGAGATGAAATTGCCAGATGGTAGAGATAATGGGAGGCATAGGTGTTGGGTATAGTCCACATTCCAGCCTAGAGAATCTTGCCTAAGATGGTGTGAAGCCAGAGAGAGAGAGAGAGAGATAGTCAAGTGGAGGATTTGATGTGATGAGACATGATACAGCCTGTGAGCATCTCCATCTAGGTAGAAATATACAATCCAGACAAGCTGAAAAACCCATTCAGTAAGTGTTGAGGAAGAGAGATCCTTGAAATAAGAGTGTTCCTTTGACAGGAATGATTGCAGGAACCCCAAAATTGAGCCATGTGCTAAGTAACACCTGACTGCCAGAACTGGACATAAGACAATAAGGGCCAGTAGGATAATAGAACAGGTACAATCTCTCTCCCGAGCTGTCCAAGTCATGGGAAGAAATAAGCAGTCACAGAATAAAATCAAGAAGTATGTGTGAAACAAAGTATGTGAGGCATAAAATACATAAAGATCAGATTTGCAAAACTACTAGCAATAAGGAGTAGGTAAAATGTTTTAATAGAGATGGTAAAAGAAGCAAATGGCCAAGGGTGAAATGGGGCCTGGTTATGAGTGTGTATAAGCCCATCAAAGATCCAGTCAGGCAAAGGAAACAGATGAAGGGGACAATGAATAAAGAAGGACCGAAACAAAGTGGAAAGAATAGAAGGAGAAAAGACAGAACCACAGTGAAAAAGATGAAAGGTAGTCAACAAGGCCTCCCAATAGCCTGCAATGATAGAAACTGACAATCCTTGGATGAACAACCAGGTAAAGAAGGCCGAAAAAGGGGGGGCAACAGTAGGATGGTCTGGTGAGAAAGAGAGGCATATGGAACAGCAGCAAAAAATACCCACTTCTGTTGATAGAAAGGGAGATATGAACAAGACAAAAAAGGGAGACATGGTCATAGAAACCTAACTGGTGAATAGACAATGCTTCCAGGTGAAAAAGAAACGTATGAAGTTGGAGTAAGATTGATTGAGATGAAAGGAAAGGAAGATGAAACCAAGACTGAGCTACCCAAAATGTGCTACTAACAGGACTCAACAAGGAGTATTGCGAATCAACACCAAAACATGTGGGAGAAGATGAAGAAAAGAATACACAGACACAAAGATATAAAAATCATCCTGGCTGAGGATATCCACAGCCAGAGTTGCTTGGTGAAGAATCAAGGACTAGAAGATGAAAAGTTTGGTAATGAGAGGAATGGCGAAGGAATCGATCATTGGCGTACTCAACTGAGAACAAATCCAACGAAGTAAATGAAGATGAAGTGATCACTCCGTATGAAGAATCATGTCCATTCAAGAAAGTCAATCTGCCACAAAATTCCAAGTTTCCACAACATAACAGGATGTCACATGAACCCAATGTGAATGGGTCCAAAACAGAAAGTCTAATGTGTAGAAGCAAAGGTTCCTGGAACTAGTCCCATCTGGACAACTGATTGTCAAAGTGGATCATAACCAAATGATTCACACAACATGGTTGGAAATAGGATGGATGGCAAAGATGTCCAGAACATTGTTATGGGAGGTATGCTCCACATGAGATCAAGCCCCCAAAGACATGGAGTTGTTCAGAGACACACTCAAACCCATAAGAGATACATCAGTGAAGAGGCGGAAATCCTGATGGGTGGGCAGCAGTGCTGATCATAATATTGGCAAGATCGAGCCATCAATACATGTCTGAGAATAGAAAGTGACAGTCTTACAAGAGAAGACAAAGGATCACATGGAAAAGAAAGAATATGAAATCCAGGGCAAGGTACTGAAAAAGACTGACTGTAGATAACCAGAAAAACTAACAGGATCACAGTGTATGGCTTCAGATAAGAAATGAAGAGAGGATAAGTACTGAAGAAGGTGGGTAAGAAAAAGTAAAGATGGAAAATTGAGCTTTAGTGTGTTACTGGAGATAGGGGGGGGGGGGTCAGTCCCCCAAGTAGGTAGAATGGGCTTCATGAATTGTATGTCAAAGAATGGAAAAGGGGAACAACTATAAGCCACGGCCAAGGAATCATGGAGTCAAGAAGGACAGCATTTAAAAGTGGGAATGAAGCTAATCCAGGAATGTGGCAATATGGATGGACCTATCTTCCTGGAGCAGGAAGACACACAATAATCATTAGCATGAGAGTCATGTATTAATGAATGGGAAGACTCAAAAGAAATAGGAGAAAAGGAAGTAAAGAACAAACTTGAGTAATCAAATCCACAAAGAGATTTGAAGAAGAAACATTGTCCTCAATAGGTAAAAAGGCAAGAAGGCATCCAAAAACTTTCAACACAATGAACTATGGCAAAGTCTTCAATTGTCAAACAGCTTCCAATGGCCACAGACAAAGTAGGGGTAGCGTTAGCAACATCACCAAAACCTGGAGAAGAGGTAGCAGTCACAGTCACTTGCAAATTTATGAATGTTGTAGCAATTCTCAAGATCAAATGTTGTTTTATTAATTTTTTTAGTTACTTAAGAGTAATTTGACATTAACTTGAAGTTAAACTAAAAGGAAACCAATGAAAGCTTACACCTGTGAAAAAGGCAGTGCAAATGTTACAAAACTGAATAAGTTTAAACTTAAAGATACATCTATTTAAAGACAGTGCAGAGAACAAGAATGAAGTGCTTATAGGGGTCTACTGCACATGGAGGATGTGTCACCCTTCTATTGGAGGAATATTTTTGCATGATGATTACATTGTGTATTAGCACAGTTTATATTATAACACGTATCTTAGGTGGGAGATAGCTCAAGGCTAGTGGCATGTGTAAATTCTCAAAGTGAGACATGCAAGAAATAACTACTGTGTGCAGAGAGGTAAGCCTTTTGTTTTAGAATTGTTCTTTCTATTGATTATTAACATAACCAGTAGCAATGTCAAAAACTTAGAGACACTTCTAAACAACAGTAGACATGGGAAGGGTATGCCAATGTAGGTTGAACAAATAAAGCAAAAAAAGGTTGAACTTTTATATCTGACTTGTCAATATCTATAGTATGTGTTTCTAATTGGTTGAACAATTTGAAGCCCTTGTAATGGAAGAAAAAATTCTATAAATAAGAAGCCAGACTGCCACCAAATCAGAAAATTCTGAGAGGTGCAGATTGAGAATTTATTCAAATATTTCCTTCTGAAATTAAGAAATCAAAACTTAAGAAAAATGAGAATTATAAATTGTATTTTCATGCCAAGCTTCTTGACATACAATGATTAAGTAATTAAATTTTGAATGTAACTTTAAAAAGTCATGACTCATGCAGTTCAACCAATCAATATCCATATGGTATAAGATAATTTAATGACTTGAAACATTTGTAAATGCCACTACAGGTCTTTATTTTTTAAAAATAAATCACGAATGGTAAAACAGAATAATACTGTTTAAATTGGTACCTTAAACGGATAAGTGTAATTATTTTTATGCCCAAGTATATTTACTGAAAACTTTTAAAATGATGATTTATACAGGTCTGAACAAGAATTATATTGTTTTCCTAGTTAGACCAGCTTCTCTACTAGTCCACGTATCAGGAATCCCCTGAATTTAGCAAACTGTAAAAATTCCTAATCAGTGGAAAGAAAGAATAATTATCACACATGTTGAAGGTTAACTGTTATAAGACATGTTTTATAAAGGTAGCCTGAAGCCTCATAAAAGAGTAGACAAGATGTGAGTTCTTGGATCACAAATCTATATGTGAGGTAGCTTCAAAATAGTTTAAAGAAAAGGAAACTGAGTTAGCTGCTAGAGGTTTTCAAACATAGTAATTTTTTAAAACTGTATACTACCTAAATACAACCTAAAATTGGAAATCCACTTTTTTAAACCTTTTTATGAGGATAAAAAAAAGTTTTTGATCAGTAACAATGTAACAAAAAAAAAACAGCAACCAACAAATATGTTGGAGAGACCTAATAAACAGAAACAGCAAAAACTCTCAAAATCACATGGAGAATATCAATCTCAAGTGCTGGTACAAAAAGATATTTCTACCTTTCATCATTCCACGATATATCGTAATACTACCCCTTTCCCACATGTACAGGTAAAAATCTCCCTGAACTTACATCTACTGATTTATTCTCTATTTACCCACTACAGATGTGCAGTCGGGATTCATAATCCCACTAGGCAAGAGATGGAAGTCATACTCTTTCTCTCCAACAACAACGGTGTGGCCAGCATTGTTTCCTCCCTAGAACAGAAGATTAAACACCCAAAACATTATTAGTTGTGAAAAAAATACAAAAAAAGTCCAACAATGAATGAAATACATTTCACTAGTACTTGTTAGCTAATACTGCAACCTAATGTGCTTAATATGAATCAATAAAACTTTTCAGCATACTGAGGTAAGCTTACAGTAATGTTAACCATATCATTTTATGTGTAACAGGATATACCACTATAACTCTAAACTTGCTTTATGTGTGTGAATGGAGGGGTGGGGTGAGTTAATGAAGACTCTCTTAGCAAACTGAAGTGACACTTTTGATAGTTAACATACACCAAGTGCCATATTGGCTACTGAATTTGAAATTTGAGAAGCAAAATTAAAGCCATGGATGACGTGCATATTACCCTGTTGTCAATATATTCTGATTCTTAGCTTTCACACAGATATTGAATAAAAATATTTTCTTTTTTGCATCATATTCTAACCATGGATATGTATTTTAAACTCTTCATTTTGAATACAATGACTGTTTTTATATATTTTCTTGGCAATAATTTCTATTCATATAAATTCAATATTTGAGAATCTCTAGTTGGCTTTCTTTCTTTTAAAAATGAGAAATACTGATTGCAAGCTAGTTGTGAACATGTTTGCTACAGCTATTAGAATGATGCAAATTTTGTTTTAAGCTGTTTCTATGTGATAGTTTCATTTTAAACAGCTAATAATACTTGTTATATAGAAAAGTGGTATTCAGATGTATGTCTACTTTTAGTACTTCTTACCTTTTTTAGTTAGTAAGACATTACTAATTTATTGAAGTAAAAGGTCCACTAAGAATTTTCAACCTTTTATTTTTTAACACATCTACATTTCTAGCAAGTATGCAGTTTTAATAACAGAACATTGGTCAAGGAATGTAGCCAAACTCTTTTTGCCCTAGTTATTTAGAGGTTGATTGCATGAAATACTTCATTTTGATGTCAGTAAAACAGCAGTGATAAATCTTAAAAACATATGACATCACTAAATAGGCCATAAAAAAGGTACAAAAAGAATGTTTTCACAGGATTGTGGATATCTATGAATAATATCAGAAAGAAAAATCAATAAATGTGAGAATACTATAGAAATATTGATTAGTCAATCACCAGTCAAACTAAGTTTTTCTCAAGTTGTAGGTGAGGTCTCATCTATATTTCTGGGAGATCAATGATGACTGCAAAACTTTTGTAGCACTTAGGTGGGATTTTGAGAAGTTTCACACATGAAAGTGGAGTTTTATGTAAATTCACCAGCTTTCTGCCAAATTAGCAAAAATAAGTTTACAAACAATTCCCAAATGTTGGTGGAGACCCTAGCTAAACCCTTGTGAGGGTTTTCAGTTGTACTATAAATGGAGTCTTTAACTGTTATATAAAGCAGAATAAGCAATGAGCTACTCATGTGTCTCACAATGAATAGTATACTACACAGGATCTGACAAGGATAGCAATTTATGGATCAAACTATATACTGTACCACACAAAATCTTACAAGGACAGAAACTTGAGGGCCTCAAATTAAATATTGTACTTAATAAAATCTTACAAAGGCAGCAGTTTATGTGCCAAACTGAATAATATACTGTGCAAAGAACAGCAACCTTTGGGTCTCAAAGTTGAGATCAGTTTTTTTAATATTTAATGTAATAAACATTTAGAATGCACTAAAGTAACTACAGCACTAGAAACCCTTTCACTATAATTAACTCACATAACACTACAAACTCTCATTGCATCAGAAATCCTTTCATTTTAATTTTTCTCAGCCTTGTTCATAAGCCCTACATATAACTACTAACTTTAGATAAAAACCTTAGGTCAATGACTCAATTTTTAATTTGTCACAATTATCAGACAAAATACAAACTTTGTAATGTAATGCTTAACATTAATGATGTCAGCTGTGAGCAGCAAACAGAGCAAAACTTGGCAAAATTACATATCATCACATCCAGGTGGAACATTGCCCAAGTAGCAGGTGTCTATTTTTACATTGTTAAAATCTTCTTGAAGTTAACTCAACAAAAAATACTTTTAGCAACAAGTCTTCTGACATTCTTTGTCACGAGTCTTCAAACAAAGATGAAAATAAATTATCACAAGAATAGTAAACTCTTTCTTGCCAATGCTGTACATATATAGTCAAAACTGTTCAGACATCTGGCTTATCTTACATAGGCTGATTTGTACACCACTTTCCTGATTAGTTTTTTTACATTTAGTTCTTAAGTGGCTTAACAAAGTAAATTATGCTTCATTCCTAAATAACCTTCATTTATCTTAAAACTCCTCTGTACTGATACACTATCAAAGTTGTTAGAACTTTCAAAAATTAGTTTTATTTGTCCTCTGTTTGTGTGTGTGTGCTACTTTGTGACTCCCCAGAGGCCATTCTTGTTAATGTTATGCAATAAAAACCCTAAACAGTGCAGTTTGTAATTAAAAGCAGTAAATAATGAGATTTCAGCATAAATATGACTCAGCAAATACTTTATAGCAAACTTATCACCAAACATAATCAGCACACGTAGTCTTACACGATATCAACACTATGGTGACAGGATGTGATAATGTATATATTAAATTAACAGTACTTACATGTAAAGAACATGACAGACACACACTAAATATTTTTTTACAAACCAAATATTTTTAGTCTTAACGTTACTGAATTTTTCCTGCCATCAAACTTTAATACTTACCAATTAACCCTCTTTCTTTGAATCTCTTACAACTAGCTAACTTTCTGTGTGGATGAAAGCCCTCTATTTTTAATAATTTTTTACATCATTTTCTGCAGGTAACACTTCTACAATAAACCATGTAACCTAACTTTAAAACACATACATTTGTTTTGAAATCATTCAATAACTCAAATCAAGGTTATTTTGAGAAATGATTATAAACTTATTAAACATGGAATTATATATTCATATTACAAACATAATGCAAGGTGAAATCCATCCATCTGTATAACATTAATATCACACTCACTATCTGAACACTTTCTCTCTCTAAAACTTACTTATAATCCGTGGATAACATAAAATGATAAATTATTTGATCCTTAAAGGGTGTCCTTACACACCCACTCTTGAAAAACTTTATTTCTAGAAATCATTTATGTAACCAAAATTGGCCAGTCGGTTCTGAAAGCTTTATTTTTTATGAATACAAAACCATACTGATACTACTTAAATATTAACAGGATTCTCTTTGGTTTTCAGTCATACACAAAATATCCACATAATTTTTATGAATTATTAATGGATAGTCAAGTTATGTATTATTGTGGCAATGAAGAATTTCTGAGAAAGTTAAACACTTGATCTTAACTTTACAGATACAACTTACAAACAAAAATTATACATACCATGTTATTACAGTTTCATACTGATTGGATGTTTGTACTTACAAGAAAAAAATTGAAATTGAAGTTTCTAAAGTAAGTAAACACTGTTTAAATATTGTTTGAGATTATTGTGAAAACCCATTAAACAGGTTTACCAAGATTGTGTTAAAAAGAATGACCTTATTATAACCAGTCATTTAAGTGAAGAAATGGTTAACAAATAAGACACAAAATAAACAATAATTTTCTAATACATATAATTAAAATATATTATTAATAAAAGTTATCTGATTAGAAACAACTAAACTATATAATTATGTAACTTAAACAGAGATCACTTACTTGTCTAATAAAATATTGTGAATCATGTGCAAGATTTTAAAAACCATAAAAACATGAGGCATTTATACTCAAATTATATTAAATAGGCTTTACACTATATAAAAAATGCATGATGACAATAAATGTTAATTATACAAACAGCATTACTGTATTTATGGAACAATGTTTTCATATAATTGAATTCTTTGTTTATACAAGTTCAACAGTGCGCCACCTACTAGTAACTCATATTTTCACTCACTAAATGCTGTAAACCATATTTATGTTATTCAAGTAGTCAAGGACAATATACACAAATGGATTTCATCTGATCAATCTTCACTAGCTTTGATGATACACTAAACACATACAATGCTTAAGTTAATGCTATGCTGGCTTAAAGTTAGTGCAACTATTTTTAAAACACCCTTGAGAGCAGAAGAAGTATGCTAGTAAACTGTAGTCTGGAAAAAAAAAACATTGAGGTTGCTATGTAATAATAGAAGTGAGGCTTAATGTGTTCTACTTCAAAGCTCATAGTTTACAGCTAGTAATTACAATGACTATAAAATAATCATCTAATTAATACTCAATTCATTTTTTGCCAAAAAAGAGAAATCTACAGTTTTTACAGAAGTATATTGATTTAATTTAATACTCCTGTGATTTGTTGTGATAGAAAACTGTAAATGATGTACTTATTGAAAACTGTGATGTTGTATAGGAAAAAATTTGATTATCTTAGAATAAAGTCAGATAATAGAATTACAATATGAAAACAGTCAAAAACAGAATATGAAAAAGATAGAAACAGAATTTACTATGTCAGAACTAAGTAAGAAAAAAAAACAGATTAAACAATACCAAAACAAGGTTGAAAAAAACAATTTTTTGTCAGAATAAACTCAAAAAACAGAACATAAGAACAGACAAAAGCAGAATATACTATGCCAGAACAAAGTCAGAAAACAGAATCTACTATATACTAACAGATAAAAACAGAATCTAACATGCCAGGACAAAGTAAAAAAAAACAATCCACTATATATGAACAGACAAAAACAGAATCTACCATGCCAGGACAAAGTAAAAAAAAATCTACCATGCCAGAACAAAGTAAAAAAACAAAACAAAAAACAGAATCTACCATGCCAGAACAAAGTAAAAAAAAACAGAATCTACCATGCCAGAACAAAGTCAACAACAGTTTCTACCATGCCAGAACAAAGTAAAAAAAAACAATTTACTACATATGAACATACAAAAACAGAAAATACCATGCCAAGACAAAGTCAAACTCA